AACACTAACCGGAAAATATGAAATCTTTTTTAATTAAATTTAGAAGAACGTTAGGCAGAATTTAGTTTAGATAACATACGTGTTGGTTGCTTTATTCCCGTTAAGGAAATGATAAATGATGCTTTAGGCAAATTTAATTCTACAATTTTCGAAAACAATTGTGAAATTCTAGATATATTAGCCGTCGTTAAGCAGAAGTGTTGAGTTATTAAAAGTTTGTTCTGAATATGGCAAAATATTTAGAAAAGTCAGAAGATAGTTAAAAATAAAAGTATTTTTTTCTATATATTTCAATTTGGTTGGTTGGCTGACATGGCCGGTGCACCACACCCCAATTAGCACAAATGTGCCGTTTATCTACCATTACCACGTGAGGTCAGGCCGCTATTGGGTGTAGATACAATTGCAGCCTATCCAAGCCATCCGGTTCCTTTGAGAAATCTCAAACAGCCACGTCGCGTTTACTATGCCCCAAGTAAATAGTCTGGTCGCGCCCAGAGCCGGGCTCTAACATTGTTTTCAAGTTAGCAAATTATTTCTAAAAAGTTAACAAATAAACTTTTTAAGTATGGCACTCCATACCGACTATATTATCACCGGAACCCCATATGAATGTGTGTACTGACCTTCTAATGCTGCAAAAATAATCCTGGGGCTCAATATTCTTTAGAGTTTTGCCCACTTAACCCTATTAAATATCATGTGTTCCAAATTTTTAATTCATCTACAACCATCTGAATCCAGAATTGTTTCTGTTTTCATTCTAGCAACCCAAATTTAAAGTTAAGCATATATTTAGTACATTCTTATATTTGGAACGAATGTGTGTTATAAAATATAATGTTATCTGATATGGTAATTATAATTATAAAAACTATAAAGCAAAATTTTATGAATTTTGATTTAAGTCTTAGTGTAGCTTCAGTGAGCACCAATTCAATTGTTTCACATATATTATGCTTTTTTCACTTTACATACTAAGTATTAAGTAACATATGTACGCACATATATTAAGTAGAATAACAAGAAAATGAAAATTTAATAATAATAATTACCATATTATAAGATAATTGTACATTTTGTTGAAAAAATTTTTATTATTCTTGGTAAATAGAAAATTATTCTAAATATTTAAAAATTATGTTCTTGTTTAACGCACAATTACATTTGAAATGAAATAATATGGAAATTTTATTTATGATATTAAACTACTTATACTTAACTATTTCTGGAATAAATACACTTCGTGTGTTAGAACACTTGTAGGTGAATTCTTTAGTATAAGGTCATTGTTATAGTGATTGCTCAATGGTTTAATAATTTAATATTTGTTAATTGAAAAGTAATTTTGTGTTTCCACCTAATGGTTCCCAACTGGTATTCATTTCCTCCATGGTATTTTTTTCTGTTAAATTCGATTATTCAGACTCGCAGATCCTTCACCATGTGAGTTTGCCAGCCGAGAGACCTCTTTCTTCTCTTGTTAAATGCTGTTCATTTTTTCAGGAAGTGAATCAAGATCTTCTCTGGATCCTTGTAAAGTCTGTTATAAGTACTCTTGCGCTTTAATCGCAGGGGTAATCGAGGGACATTTCATGGTACTATTTACATATGTACAGTAAAAAATGTTTTCAAGTTATTTAAATAAATTTTAAAACATTTGCACTGTATTTATTGTTGAGCAAATTTCTATCTTAATTGAGATAAGTTTTTTTAAGTTTACATGATTAGCTAGTTAATTTAACAGTATACATCGCTATTGAATAAATTACACCGCTATTGATTAAAAAATTTTGTATTTCATATAAATTAATTTACTTATTGCGCAAATATAATTTAGAGTTGTTACTGTAAATCATATTGAGTTGATCTCATGACAAATAACATGAATCATGCCATTTGCTGTGAGATCAACTATGAAGGTGGTGCATAATGCTACTGAATAGTAGAAAATTACACTGCCTCTTCTGTATAATTATTATGTACATTTTAATTAATAGTATATACATCATAGTGATAGCGCGATTGTAGTTTACATTTCAATATTATTTCTCAACAAAATAGATCTCGTCACCCCATCAATATTTTCTTACTCTAATTATAATTTTAACAAAGTGTTGAATCATTTTCGAAAAAAAAAAAACACATTTTATTTAGAAACCAATATTTAAAAATCAAATATTATATAATATGCAAACATTATACAATATTTTTATGTATATATAGATAGTGTGTGGACTTTCATTTTCACTAATGTAAATATTTATTCTTTAATTTTTTTTTTTTTTCGAAAACCTATAATTATATGATATGTTAATTGTTATACACACACTTGCTGGTTGTATATAGTTCAGAAATGAAGCCCTAACCTTAAAATTATTATTTTTTTATTTTGTTTTCATTTTGTTTTTATGCTAGCCACAAATTTAATTGTATATAAATACTGTTAATATTAAATACAATAAAAGTAAATATGTAAATATTTAAAGCCAAAAAAAAAAAAATACAACAATAACAATTTAATAGTGGAGCAGCAATAAACATCACAACAACTTTGCATATAGATTAAGAAAATGAAAATTTGTCTAAGACTACAACCAATATTAAGTGTTTATGCTTAACTAAAACAATAATAATATGAAAAATGATAATAAATTGTCATCCGGCATTACTAATCATTTCAGAATCATAAATAAATATTAAAAAAAAATTTAAACAAAGTGCTTATGTACGTATGTATAAAATAAAAGTTTAACAATGAAAAGTACTTTAACATCTTAATCTATAATTTAAAATATAAAACATCTAATGGGAGACCGTAGATCACCTAATAAGAGAAAAAATACGGACTGCGAGGTGGTTTGTTTGAAATTATAGCTCTATTTCGATTACGACTCAAGTTTTTTTCTACTGAATTCAATCTGAACAAACGTTGAATTTGACTTCGGGCTATCAACTCTGATACTTCGACTCCGACTTTGATGTGCTAATCCAATTTTAAGATTTTTAATTTAGAATATAAAAAGCATAATGGAAGGCCGTTGCTTGTTTTATAGTAAAATTCGAACACTGCTGCTGTTGAATAAGTAAGTTGACTTAGACAAGTTGCTTTTAATAGTGAGCTGTGACTCCACTCCGACTCTTTGACTCTGACTCCATGACTCCGACTCCTTAACTCCGACTCTAGCTCTGCGTAATTGGCTCTGATCCGAGCTTTTCGTTTTTGACTCCGACTCTTGATTCCGACTCCGACTCTGACTCGCAACTCCGATACTTAATATTCTACTCCGCTCTTGAATCTTCGATTCCTACTCTGAATTTTCAGTTTCTACTCGATTCTTTTATTTCAAATTTAACTGCTTGACTGAGTTTTCAACTCTAACATTCAACATTTACAATAAGACTCTAGTTCATCGACTTTTACTCTGGCTCTACCCTTTGGATTTTCAATTCCATCCCCCAGCTAAAACTGCTTTTTTACTTTGGCTCCAAATCTTTTTTACCGATTTCTGCTACTTGACTTCGATTTCCTGATTTTCCGTCTCTAACTTCTCCTATTTGGCCGCTGTATTCCTATTCCCAATTCGACTTTACGCTTGCATGGCTCCAATCTATATTTGTATTCCAATAACACAAATTTCATGCCAATAAAATTGTTGCTAACGTTAAAAATGCAAGAGGGAGAAGGAAAACAAAACATTTTTATTTATTTTTCACAACATTCAGTTAATCTATGTGTAAGGTAGGTCAAACCTTAAGGAAAATACAAAAAATAAAAAGAGTAACAAAAAATCAATAACTCACCTGGAACACCTTTATCATAAAAAATGTACACATAAATAATTAAAACATAAGTGTAAATAGATAAAACGCTCTTTAGACCGCTTTGTAATTATTTTTTGTTTTTCTTTCAATTTTTCTCATTTATATTTTGAGGTTTGTAGAAAAACGTTTGGAAAAATACGAGTATATAAGGTAATCATAATTTTACTATGGGGGTTATTTTAAGCTTTTAAAGTTTAATAAAGTTTGTGTGATGGTTATGAAGTTATGAATGAAATCATTTCTAGTGTTATTTAAAAAAAAATATAAGAAAAATGTTATTGTTGTGTTGGTTATCTAAAATGTTAAATAAAATGTTTAAACACACTAAAATGACAATATAAGATTCCCTCTATTTTTTGTTCTTTTTTTTTATGAATTTATTATATGCGAGAAAAATTTGAATGCCCTGTGAAAATTCAATTTGTAGTTGTAACTACTCTTTATAAGATTTACATTTTAACAGTATTGAATTTTGTTGAACGTATTGTTAGACGCGCTGGAGACATCATAGTCCGGAAAACTCTAAATAATGCTGAGCGTCGGCTTCAAAATTTTTACTTTATGAGCTTTGATTAAATTTTTAAACATTGAACATACGAGATTACCGTACTTATCCCGAAGCAGTATGAGAGAATGGATTCAAAAAAAAAACTTAACTTAATACATTGTGCCTTGTCCTTGTTCTTTCTTAACGTATTGAGTTTCATTCTGAAAGGCTTTCTGAAAATCACACTTTGTATATTCTCACTTAAGAATGGAACACTCATTTTATAACACAATTTAAAATTATTTCATAAGAATATTAAAGTTTTCAGTTTTGCTTTTTCCTTCCTTTATTTTTTAAGCTTACAACTTCACAGTGCTCTAACACTGTGTATATTTGTACAAAGAAGCAACCTTTTTGTTATTTTTATTGTTTTTGAAAATTTTGCTATATAGTGTTTGACTTAATTTTGTAATAAAAGTAGAGGGAAGACGTGCAATTTTTTTTTTATTCATTTTCTATAGAGAATTTAAATGTCCCATTGTGTATTTTACAATGTTGTTAGTTAAAAATTTATATATTATAAGTATTTTAGAAAAGGTATGTATAGTTAGAAAATCTTGGCACATATATAAATATAAAAAACAAAGTAACTATGGGAAATAAATTTATTTAGAGTTTAGTTATTGTTTAAAGTGGTTGGCTTAATTCTATTTTAGTGCAAAAAAAAAAAAATAAATATACGAAAAGAATTAAAAGCCCGACGCGAAATCAAAAACTTGAGAAATTTTTAAGAAAATTTAGTGAAATTTTAAGAAAACGAAAAATATTTTTTTATAAATTAATATTTTAAATTTAATTTTACGAGTGAAAATTGCCAAAAATATTATTTGCCATTTTATTTTAGTAATAAAGTGTTTGTGTCTTTGCTTACAGAAAGGATAATAAAATTAAATAAATAAGGATTAAAGGAGCTAATTAAATAATAATTGAATAAGAATTTAAATATTTTTAATATTAATTAAAAAAAGTGGATATTTGAGTTACTTAAATAATAAAAAAAAAACAACAAATTGAAGATGGATAAATTTTTAACAGTATTAATGGTTTGTGTCTTTGCTTAAAATTTATAATAATTATTTAAAACAATTAATTTTCTTAACATTATTTTTGTAAAACGAATTTAATTAATTGAATTTAATTGATATTTTAATTTTAAAATTAGCTATGGAATTTATTTTATAAATTTTTTATTTTATGGAAATGAATTATGTGAGGCACATAATACGAAAAACATGCTTGTAACTCGAAATTCTGAAAGAACGCGTGATATTTACTCTGAAATTTTCTGAACTGATTTGAACTAGTTAGAACTATTGTGTTTGTTCCACAAAACTCCCATAATTTTTAACTTATTTTCTGCTTCGAACAATATATAGAGTGATTCAAATTGTGGAAGATGTACAAAAAATTTGAGGATTTGTGTGAGAGCATTTATTAATGCATTAGGAGAATTGAGTAGATGAGATATAATAAAATGACTCTCAGTCCCAGAGTGTTCAATTGATTTACAAGTTTTATAACAATAACAATTTAAGAACTTTTATTTAATTTTACAAAAATAGTGTTAAGAAATAGTGTATTCCTTTCCCGTTATTTAAATTAATTAAATTATACAATCATATTTTTTTAGTGAAAATTAAATATTTTCATGTTTTAAGTTTTTCTTTTATAAATTTTTTTTTAATTCAATTGGCATCAATTCTTCTTATTCTTTTTCAACTTATTTTAAAGCACGTGGGTAAAAATTTTTGTCAATATACTTATATTTTTATTTATTTTTATTTTTTTTACTTTCTATTATTTCTTATACATCTACATTTATTTAGTCATTTCTACTCTATATTGGATTGACATCAGCTGCTGTTACAACAGTTAAAAGAGATGATACACAACAGTTGCCATTAACGAGATCTTCAACTTCAACTGATTTAGAAACAGCAGAATCTGGAAAATGTAAGAAAAAAACACAACTTATAAAAAACAAAATTAACAATAATAAATAAGAAAAACACACACAAAATAAAAGAAACAAATAAATTTTTAATAATTTCCTTGAAAATAACAAAACAAAACATAATAATGAAAAAGAGAAAATCATAAAATAAGTGAGAAATAAATTGGCTAAAAAGAAGAGAGAAAGGTAAGAAGAAGGAAAAAAAAGTGAAAGAGAAAACAATAATCGGATTATGGAATAAGTTTTAAATGTGTCATTCTGGTTCTATTGTTTAGAAATCGAGCGGGAGAAAAGACTGGACTTTCTTTACAAAAACCCATGCAACAATTTTATAATCTCAAAAATTATATTTCATTTAAAATTTAGTATTTACTCTTATGAACAGATAGGTTTAGAACAAAGTGGACAAATAGTTTAGATGCTGCCTCAGGTGGTGTATTTTTAATTTAAATTTTAATTTGCGTTTATGAGCAGATTTTTGAATGAAATTTTTAATATTTCTAAATAATTAATATTTAGTGCTGGGTCTGTGTCACTTTCCATGCATATTGTGTCTAAAACTTGAATGGATTCAAAATAATTTCACGAAATTTTTACAGAGATCGTGTAATTGAATGTAAAAACTTCATCTATTTTACATTTTATCTAATTTTATTTGGAATTTTAATTTTATTTTAAAAAAATTTTAAAATTATTTATTATAGCTTTTGAAAATTGAATGATCAATTTTTATTTCATAATTCGCATGTCTAGAAAAAGGTTTTAAAATATGAGTTTTTAAATTACACGTGATTTAAAATTATTTCTATTTCATGTAAAAATTATGACACATGTTATTTTTGACATAACCACGAGTTCATAATTACACTTAACATGCTTTTTCCGCTTCATAACCCTTTAAATTTATTTACATGTGCGAACGAGTAAAGATAAAAATAAAAAAATTTTAATAATATTCAAAGTTCAAAATATTATAAAATTTTAAGAAAGTCCTTTACCTTAACTCTATTTAAACACCTGTATTATTCTTACATTATATTTTTCGTTTGAAAAAATTCTCTTAAATGTTCAAAATTTAAAAAAAAATTTCTTGAAATTTTCCTTCTGTATTCAAAGAATTTGTTTTGTTTTTATTTTTTCTCAGCCACCTAGATTTTGTTTATGAGAAGTAAGAAATGCGAATTCCTACGCAAATTTAAAAAAAATGTTTGATATTTTGAACGTGTTGAATGTTCGTATATCTTCCTAACTTAATAGAAATAAAGAATTTTTTGAAAGTGAAGGGGCTATGAAATTCAATTTTTCCTGTTTGTTTTCTTGTTGCTTAATTTCAAATTCGTGACTTCAAAATCCAAAAATTTTTGATTTAAATTTTACTTGAATGATAAATTATTTGTTGGGTTATTGAATTTCCTAATGTGGCTTCAATTAATCAAAAGCTATAATAGAAAAATTAATTTCAATTTATTTAGTTTCGTTTTAAATGAAAATCTAAAAACGGAATAACAAAATCGTGCTTGAGCATTCGTTCTTATTGTCCTCATACCTAATTTTAAAGTCTCACATTCATTTGAAAAGAATTTTTAAAGACAAAATATTGTTTCTTTTATAAATTTGACACATTGCCGGATAGTTTGACTTCTTCTGGTTGTCAGTGTTCTTTTGGTTGTCAATATTGAAAATTATTAAATTTTTTTAATTCAAATTTAGAAATTATTAATTTCTAAATTTGAATTAAATTAAATTAAAATTTAAAAGGAATACCAACCAGTTCATAAAATTTTACTATGTTTGGAGATTTTGCACAAAAATCCAAGATCAGAGCGAGGGAAAAGTTCTTGAAAATTGCGATTTGTTCCTTGAATATTAGAAGTTTTTCATTTTGTATTTCACTTAAATATGGTAAATTTCTTGTTAAATACAATATAAAGCAGGTTTAGGTTGTGTTAATAACAATTTATTATTGTGTGTGTTTAATTATTTTCCAATGAATTTCATTTCAGTTTCGGTTGAGCTACAGTTCCACAGAAAATTTTCACCTTAAAGCATATACGATTAATAGTTTCTAAAAAAACTTAAAGGATTTTTCTATTTTTTTTTTCTATAAAAAATTTTCTATTTTTTTATATTTTTCCATTTTATAGTGTTAGAAAATTGCCCTTCATATGGGATAGTGAATCAAAATTCTGTGGTAAAAGAGATTTTCTCTTATAAGGAATTGTTGATTTATTGAAGAAACAAATCTTAAATTTTTATACAAAAAAAAAATATTTTTTTTTTCATAAGGCAGCTAGCTAGTTGTCATTCTGTTGGAAAATATAATTTTTGTTTTGATTATTCGAAAATTAATATGAAATATTTTTGAAAAGATTTTCAACCTAAAAAAAAACACACATGTTTCATATTTTGTTGGGAGTTGTCAAGAGTATGGGGGATTCTAAAGAAGAAAATTTTGATACTGGTAATATTAAGAATGTGGCTAAATAAAGTGCCCATATTTAATCAATGTAGAAATCATGGATTATCGATATTTCATACAGTTCGTATAGGTGCAGAGAAATTTCGTATAAGTGTAGAGAAAATTAGAAAAGCCGATAGATACTTGGGCATAGCGGTTTTTTATAATGTAGTTCTGAAAATATTGATGCGAAGAAAATCAATTAAATTATACAAGTTGGGACCCAATGCGTAAATTTCGATGTGTCAAACATTAAAGAAAAAAATTACCCATTCCTAGAGAGAAGAGATAAAATATTAAGCGGGTTCAAAGTATGATTTGAAAATTTTTTCGAAAGTTGTAAAGTTATGTGAGTGAAATTTAAGAATCTCGCCAACTTTTTCGGAAAAGGGTTTCCAAATTATTATTCTTTATATCCAATTTGACCATTTATGTGATCACCATCTTACATAAGTAATTTAATAATAATTCCTTGAAAACAAAATTAATATTACATTCATTTTTCGGAAACTAATGAATTAACTTTGTATTATAAGAGATTGCCTTAAGAATACATAAGCATATCTTTAGTATGAAGAGACAATTTGGATGTGAGATAATTAAAAAGCAAAATAACATATGTTATTGTAAACTTTAGTTGTTGTTTTGAAAGCGTTCCTTCAAAAGAAGGAAAGAAAATCATGTAGGATTCAAATTCGCTCGCTTTTAATTTAAGTACAAAATTCTAGTATCTTATTTGATTTTCTCGTTTATGGCCCTAAAGGTTTAACGAAAGAATTCCTTGGAAAATAATAAATATAATAAAGATGACAACATTCTAAATATCAACAATGTAAACCAAGTTGCTTCTCACTTATACAACACTATTTACAAAACTACTTCCAATTCACTTATAAGATGCCCTCTGTTTTAATTTTAATTGCTATTAATAATAAATTTAATTAATAAAAATCTATTTTATAATTTAATTTATTTTGGGGGAAAAAAAACAAAAAATACATAGTACTAGATTTTGGTGGTTTATTAAATCGAAATCCATATGGTAGTTATCAAGGTTATTCTGGTTATAATCCTTACGGTGGTGTAGGCTACAATAATTATAATAGTGGACGTTTTGGTTATGGTGGTTATAGCAGTGGTACATATCCAAATACTGGTGGATATTCAACAGGTTTTGTACCATCAACTTACTATGGTAGCACTGGTTATTATGGTGGTCAACAAAATCCTGGATATTATGGTAGTGGTGTTGGATATCAAGGTGGTTATAATGGTGGATATGGTGGAGTAGGTGGCTATGGTAGCAGTGGATATGGTGGTAGTTATGGTACTGGATATGGTAATGCAGGATATCCAGGTTATGGAGGATATGGTACAACAAATATATTAGGTGGACAATATAGTGGTTATGGCAATTCAGGATATGGTGGATATGGAGGTAATGGTGGTTTAAAATCATATTTAGGTTATGATTCTGGTAATTATTTAGGTCATCGTAATTTAGGATATGGTTATTATTCGGATAGTGATCGTTATGGTTTTAGAAATTCATATATACCAACATCACCATCATTACATGTTTCAGGTTATAGGGGATATGATTAAGAATATTTTCGATATAAGTTTTGTATGTGTATATGTAATTTTTTTTTTTGTACATAAATGAAAAGTTGTAAGAGAAAAAAATAATTATAATTTGTAACTAATTAATTAATTAATTAAATTCATATTTGAATAAAAATAAAAATAAAGAATAATAACAAAAATATTTTTTGAAATAACAATAATTTTTTTGTAAATATAAAAAAAATGTTTTGTGCTGTTTATTTTTGTTTATTCTAGGAAATTTTAATTTTACAAATTTTATTAATTATAATTTACATTAATAATTATGTATGTGTGCTTTATTATTAATAATTGCCTATTAAAAAATTATTTTCAAAAATGTGTTCTGTATATTTTGTACATTTATAAATTACTTGTAAATTGTTAAAATTAATGTACATAAATTTTATATTTTATTACAAGGTATGTATGTATATGTATTAAAATGAAAAATATATAATTATGTTACGTGTTTTCGTTTAAATAGCTTTATAAGGTTAGGTCATTATTAAATTTGAATTTTCATTTAAAACTTCATAATTAAAATCTATAACTATAAAATTATGTCATTTCTCAAGTATCACTGATAATTTATTAGACGAATGATTGAAGATAAATGAATTATGAGATTTGGTTAATTAAACTTAATCAAATGCATTGTTATTTAATCAAATACCGTGTTACTTAAATGATAACTTGCTATCGAAGCAAACACCCATTATTGAATCAACTCGACTAAGAGCTTGGCAATTCAAAGTATAGTTTGTAAAAAATGTCCGTTTTTGCCTAGAGTAGCACATTTGTGCACATTTACTTACATTGATTTTTAGGTTGTTACTTGAGCACCAGCCGTAGAAGCGGTTAAGATCATTCTGAAGACACAACGCATCATTTGTAGAGCTTATTTTTTTAAAAATTTTCATGTCATCAGCATATATTAATAACTCACTGTGTGTTAGCATCGAAACAACATCATTAATTGAAATTATCAACAGCAATGGACCTAAGTGACTACCCTGGGGTACACTAGAATTAGACGAAACAGGCGAGGAAATTGCTGAACGAAAGAGGATTCTGTAAGTTCTGCCAGAGAGATAGGACTTTAGCCATGCTAAGAAGTTGTCAGGGAATCTTAAGAGTTTCAATTTTAAAATAATAATTTCATGTGGTAGTATGTCAAAGGCTTTGCTAAAGTCTGTGTAAATCATGTCCGTCTGATACTCATTTTCCATATTATTATTGGAGAAAACTGTCGTGGCTTCCACTAGATTAGTCACCGTGGATTTCTTTTTCAAGAAGCCATGCTGACGCGCACTAATGAATGGAATACAATGAAAATAAATATTGTCATATACCATCAACTCAAAAACCTTAGGAATAGCCGACAGTTTGGCTATATAGCTTGACACGTCATTTTTATTGTTTTTCTTATGGATCCTAATGAAAGCTTCCTTCCACACGGACGGGAAAATACCCGAAGAATAAGACTTATTAAAAATTAAGGTTAAGATGGGCGCCAGAGAAGAGCAGCACCTGCTTAAAATAATCTCAGGAACTTCATCTGGTCCAGGAGAAGGACTAGAACCCAAATAAGAAAGATATTTTTCAACCGCTAAAGAGTTCGTTAATCAAATACCTTGCTAACTCTGGAAGGAGCGGATGAGGAAGAGAGCCGGAAAATTGTAAAAAAATGAAGGAAAGATTGCCCCTATATAAAATTAATAAAAATTAAGCTTTCCGTGAAAGTGAATGCTGTTCTCCCAGTGAATTGTTTTACAGTGGTTTTTAACACATAAATTTGTGGTCAAGAAAAAAAACCTCCTAAGTCGATTTTTGTAATTTTTGAGTTTATTTTAAATTCGAATTCTCCACGACTTAATCTTTACTTTGTGAAAATTTGAGCTACCTCACTTAATTTATTCAAAAGTTGAGAGGAAAAATGTAAAATATTACAATTTTTATTAAAAAAATGAAATTTTTATATTTAAATTTAATATACTTTATTGTTTATAGTCAATTAAATCAATTATTATTAGAATATCAGGTATAGTAGTTATTTATGAGGGGAAAATAATTATTTCAAGAATAAAATTAATTAAATATACACTATTGAATAATTGATCTCTTAAAATATAATAAATATCAGATTATTTTTATAATCACTTCAAATTTATAGTTATACATTACACCTTTCTCCTCAAATTAGAAATGTAGATGGAACAAATATAATTCTTATTTTTAGAATATTTTATATTTAATATATAACCGCAATTTTCATTATTAATTCTAGTTTTATTGATTTCAATTAATGTTGTGGTATAACCTACATTACATATAAAGTCAACCGCAAATAATTATAAATTTAAAATATTAATATTATAAAATTTCGAGACGAGACAATAAAATCAATAAACCTTTAAATCATTATTATTAAAGACGCGTGTATAAAAATAAATTTTAATAATATCGTAAAAATATAAATATACGATAATATTGTATCAATGTATTACAAGTATAACCTTGATTTCATTCTATATAGACATTGTACTTTACTGCCACGATAATGAAATTTTATTTAATATTTTGATTATAATGTGATAATTATTATCATAATATTATTATAATATTGTCACATTTGCAATTTTATGCTTTTATTATATGGTATATAAGAGTAAGTAAATAATTAACCTTGACAGAGATATATGCATATAATAATAATCATAATCAAATAACAAAAATTTATTGTTGTAATTGTTGCTTTCAAAAATTTTTAATGTTTACAGTGTGTTAAGAAAATTCATGGAAAATTTTGTTATACGTACTGTTCGTATATATTTTATCATTTAAATATTAATAAGCGTTCATTTTTATTATAATAATAATAATATTGTAATTATGAGAATTTTTTTAATTATTTTAATTTATCATTTTATTTTTTTCTGCATTGTTTAATTTTTTAGCTTATTATCCGATCAGATATTATTAAAAATATGAGCAAATGAATGAAAAGTAATAGCAAGTAAACATTTTAATGGTCGCCAAAATTATGCTGCCAAAATTAAAATTATTATTATAAAAAAGCATGAATGAAGATGATGGACATTTCGTGTTTTAATTTTAATTCTTTTTTTTTTTGTAATTTATTACGGAAATATAAATTTTTTGTCTGTTTTATAATAGGAAAATGCGAAAAATTAAATGTTTAAAAAATAAAATATTTAAAAAAAAAAATTAAATTGAGTTTTTAATAGTTCTAATACCCAGGGCTTTAATCTCAGTGCCCAAAATTTTAATATAATTTTAATATTACCATGGGCCTTATTCTAATTGTCGAAGTAGAATGACAAATGTCGTTACGGCTTGAATTTGATATTCTGAGTGGCGATTGCAGTGACACTTGTCGGAGAGTAGCGAAAAAATGTGTTTTAGCCATATTTCAGTTATTGTTCGTATGCAAAGTGAAGCAACGTTTTTGTTGAAAAGTATTTATCAAGTGACAAGAAAGCTGGATAAGAAATAATCAATTTTATAATGTTATACATGCATTTATCCATATATGCCTAATCAAATTTTTCGATTAATTCTCTTAATTGCGTCGCTCACAACTGGAATAAAATATTTCAAACGATGTGACAATGACAACGGCAAATGTTTTATAAGCGATGCGACAATCAGAATAAGGCATGCTTATCAGATTACAGTATTTGCTTTAAAACATCATTCTTTTTCATCAAATTCATTTTAATGCAGGTTGATTTAATTTATAATTTGAGTAAAATATTTTACAACAAACGATCTGATAAGTAAGAGTAAATAATTTTTTGTAAAATAAATAAAATATTAGGCTGTAGTTTGAATTTCTATTAATTTGAACTCATCCATGGGATCAATTTAATGCTTTTCTCTAAATTACGAGAATTCTGTATTATGAGTGGATAGCTTCAATTGTTGTGGGAATTACTCGGAGTTGTGGTACAGATATGCATCTACAGTAAACAACGATTAAGAGCTGAGGTAAGTAAATAAGTAAGTTGAGTGATTTTATAAGTAAATTTTTTTTAAATCGAAAGAAAAATTTTTTTCTTTAATTTGTTTTAAAGGTACGATATTGCAAAATGTGTAAAACTTGAACTTTAACTCTGTGGTTAAAATATGGTAATAAAAATTCAAGATTGTTGTGGTTTTAAAAAATAATTTTTTTTATTACTTAAATACAATAAAGGTTAAGGAAATTATTAAATAATTTGATTAAATCTCATTTAATCTGATCTTATACGTAATAAATATTAAAAAGTTTAAGGTTAAGTTAAAATGGTGAGTGCGTTATGAATTTAAGTTTAAATTCAAAATTTTAAATGTTTGTGCCTTGTGATAAAAATTTTATTCTACAGATAAGTTTATAAGGCAGCTTTTGTGCAACTGGTTCATGTGCAGATGAGTCGGGCTATTTAAAAGGGCGAAACCACCTTAAGCTATATTGTAACAAAATTAGCCGATTTTTCAATATATGTACGTTATATGTGTGGAGCGAACCCTAAATTAACGCAATCGTTCAGTTTCAAACAATGCTATCATGCAGGCCGACATCCTATCAAAAACTGGATTGTTAGTTTGTTTTATGTATTATGTTTGTTTGTCAAATTTGACGCAGCTGATGGCTTAAAATTTACACCAAAATTTTTTTTATTATATGAAGGGCTATGGTTAAATTACACTTAATGACTGAAATTTTTTGTAATCTCGTCTGTTCTTTTCATTTAATTTATTAGTATTGTTTGAAATTTATTTGCAACGCATAAGATTTATACCACTTTTTCCACTGTGTGATCAATTAAAAAAAAAAACTTAATGCAGTTAATTCTGTAATCAACTTTCGCTTAATGTCTTCAGCACAAACACACCGATTGCACTCCAACTGATGTAGCTGATGCAATGTGGTGACTATTTATTAAATTTGGCGGAACAGTTGACTTCAGGGCATATAAAATGTCTTACCAGGACTGATAAAGTCCTCGAATCTCAAGAGAAATTAAAACAAGCGTAGGTTGCTTTTTAAATATTAATCAACACTGATCAGTATAAGATCACCTGAGATTATAATATTAACTGAGTGCCGCCTCATATGGCTTGCTAGACAAAAACAGAAAATAATACACACTTGTATTGGGTGTCACAAAGCCATTTGCATGGGATGTATAAAAGATTATGCATAAATTGTGTTAATGGAAAATCGTCCTCAAATTTAAATGTGCTGAGAATTTTCAACTTAAAATATTTTGACTAGGTTTTTGGAAAT